CAGCTGTTCCCTGATGAACCACACCCCTCCGATGCCGTATCTCTGAATCGGTGTTGACCTGTAACCGTGCCCACTTGCAGCGCAGTCCCTTCCTACCTATTTTGGATAGAGGGTTCCTCTCTTTCTGCATTATCTGCTTTCTACCGTTCAGAAAACTACTTGATTTTCATCCTTCCAATAATATTATTCCTTTTGGAATTTTAAAAATAGGTATTTTTTTCATTCCATTTTAGAGATCTAAAGTAGAAGGGGAAGTAGGAATGCATGCTCAGCTGGCCATCTCCCCCGCCCCCCACCACACACACACACACAGGTTTTTGACAATCCCTGCTCCTCCGTTCTCCTCTTAGGATTCTGGGCACACATGCACAAGCGCCCAGCGTGATTTTTAAGCTAGTGAGTTGAACCACAGTCAGCCATGTGGGAGTCCAATGCCGTAATCACCTTGCTGGCCCCCAGTCTGCTATCTTGATCCAAGCTTTCTGCTTTTTCTTATTAGTATCCTGTCATTTCTAGAGCCCCAGAGGTTTTATTTTTTATTTTTTTATTTTGCTTTCCTGATGACAGAGGTCCGGAGGTCTCTGATACACACGCCAAAGTGACATGCAATCATCTTCTCCTTGGACCCTAGACCAGCTGTGATTGCTCCATTCTCTTACTCTTCCTCCTTTGTAAATGATTTCTCCTGTGAGTCTGGCAGATATGTCAATAAATGAAGTCTCCGGAGGCTGGTCACTCTCAAACTAAGGGACAGAACTTGAATTTCTGAACATGCAAGGTGGTAAGTAGTTTAAAACGGAGACTTCAACCCCAGCTCCCTTGGAGAGTTACTTAATCCCTAGACGTCTTAAAGTCTTGGTGTCCTTCCCTTTCCACACCTGGATGGCCCGTCCATGGCTCGCTCACAGGTACAGAGCTGGAGGAGAAGACACCCAGGCCGCTGAGAGGCCCACCCTGACTTCTCTTTATTGTGGGCTCCTGCTGAGAAAGACAAGCACCCTCAGTAAGGTCCCACACCACGCTCCTATCCCCAGCCAGCCAGGAACGTGGGCGTGTACAGATCTACGCAGGAAGCAAACCCTCATCTCCTCCCTGGCTCTGGCATTGCACAGTGGTGTTCTACCAGGTGCCCCCACTCCTGGGCCTTAATCAGTATTTTAACTAGCACCTGATAGGCTCAGGTGCTGCAGAACTGAGTGAGTTTTTTCAGTGTTAGTTTTTAAATCTCTTTTTTGTTTTATTACTTTTAATTATGATTTCCAGTATACAAAAAATCAGTGTATATCTTTCTGGTATATACAAAATCAGTGTATATCTTGTGGGCCACAGAATGATTTTTATAACATGTGTACAATATACCACAATCAAATCGAGGACATACCCATACTTACCTCCATGTCTTCAAGTCTTCTGTATTTGAAAAGTTGTGTTAACTCTTGACTTAACCCTTTAGCCGTCTCAAAATACAACAGACTTTTAGCTTTATGTGGAGACTGAGGGAAGATTTAGCAAAATGAGTTAGATTTGTTTTATATATATATATATATATTTTAAGTCAGCCATGTGGGGTCTCTCTCTTTTATTTATTTTTTTTTTTGGAGAGGTTTTTGCTATGGGGCGCATGTGCTCACCAGACAGACAGAGAGAGACATAGAGACAGAAAGCGAGAAATCACCCCCCAGGGGGG